TTGATAGAATAGCAGTCATGCTGAAGTTCTTGTTTCCTTAGTTGATTGATCACTTGGAATTAATTTATCCCAGAACTATCTTCATGTACATGCACTGATACATAAAATACTCAAGATGTATTTAAGAACTCCAGTTGCAGCAATGCACTGGGAAAGTTAAGGTTTGTGAAGCTTAGATGCTAGATTCTATTTTTGAAAATTTTTCCAAATTTTATCCACAAATGCCAAATAGAATATTCCTACAACATTTGACATCATCAAGTTACCTGATATTAAAAATGCTCTGTCCTTTTCAGTGTTGGCTTTTTCCCCGCTAACATTTTCTCTGTGTTGAAAGTATTCTATTTGATTGAGCCTGATAAACTCAATGAGCTTATCAATGAGAAATATCCAGTAAGACAATCATTATAATGCCTGTATGATCAGATAGCACTGACAGCACTTAAATCTTTAGGCATCAAGTGCTTTCCTCTTCTCTTTCAACTAAAAGCCTGATTAGGCAGTTTCAAGTTTCCTGTTCTGAAAAAGAGAAACTACTTGTTCTCTTCTACTGCAAGTCCCAAATTTGTTGACCTTTCAGAATGGAGTGATAGTCAACTTGGAAGAAGGGTCTGCAATTTAACAGTTTCAACAGCTCAAGAGATCTCCTACATGAGTTTGGATCTCAGCTGAGCATATCAGCTACTTCGCACCAGATGAGAAAGTAGTCTTTGCTCTCACCAATCCTCTTGACTTGGAGCTCTTCCAAGTCACTTCCAAGACTTCAATATCCAAGAATCAGGAACCAGAGATAGCAAGGACTCACAATTAAGCTTCCAATAGTCTCTCTTCACTGGTTTGGATGAAGGATATGACCAATTGCCATGAAAGATCGTTGCAGTACTACTACTTATTTTTTGTTGTCACACTTTCAAATTGCATTGCTTCTCGGTGACCTACAATGAAGTATTAAAACCCCTTGCAAGAGACCAGTGAGACTAGATACACTAAAAAAAAAAAGACTTGTCAAGAAGAAAAGCTCCTCTTGAGAAAAAACAATGTTCTCAAACAGGGAGGAACTGGGTATTACTTCTGTAGTACCTATCACTATCTGGAAGAACTACAGAAGCAAGCAGAGAACAGGTACCTTTCCTTTCTTGTACAGGGGGATCTCCAGCATAGAAAGTTTCCTGTAGTAGTAATTCACTAGCAATGAGGATCAGTGCAGCCAACAAGCAGGAAGAGGACAGAAGCCCTCTCTTCACATTCACTCTGCAGCTGCATTAGGTCATGCTGCCTGCATGCATAAAGCAGTGGAAATAGATGGAAACAATTATTTTTGTAGTCTATTCAATACCAGGATGTTGAAAGATAAATACAATCAAAGGTCCAAACTGTCCAGTGGAATATGAATGAGTACACAGCTCCTCCCTACAGTTATTATTTTAGGGCTGTAGAACATGCCAACCAAGTTAAGGTTTTGGCCAAGTTTAGTAAACTTAAGTCTTGGAAAAAGTTAAGAATCAAGAGATCAGCTTGAAATAAGTTTTCATTTTGAAAGTAGAGCAATTTATCATTTTAATCAGATTGCAGTAAAACTTTTTCTAAGCCAAGATATTTTCAGTTATCTTGGACAGAATACCACCTTTGTTATGGTGACAGTTTCATAGATTCTCACTTTTCAAGCCAACTCAAGACAAGAAACATTCCAGATTTTCCACAACTCTATGTCATTTCTCCATGTCATTCTGCTCAATACAGTGACCAATGACAGCTCCAAAAATGGAAGAATATTTATTGTTATTTGATAGAAAAAGCTTAAATTCATCTGAGAGCTACATCACCAAGATGCATAGGTTGGTCCTAAATAACAAGAAAAATCCTGGTGTTGAGCAGAATCCCCTAAAGAACAGTACGAGCTACAGAGACCTAGTTTTGGAGTTGTCTGTTCAGCTTGTGCAGCAACTAGTGCCAAGGATCTCAGTCTTCATCTGGAACTCCCTGACATAGCTGTAGTAAGACTTATCCTCATTGAGATGTATTTCCTGACTTTCCAGGAAAAACTCCTGAGTTTTGATGCAAATGAAGATGATTAACAAAGTCAGTTAACTGTAAACAGCTCTTAAATCAGTATTTTCTAGTCAAGTTTTAAGTAGCTTAGTATCATGTCTGAAAGCCTGTTCAAGTTAGTTGTATTCTTTAGTGAAGCAAAAATGGTACCTCACAGAAGGAAAAACAACCTAGGAAGTACTCTTAGAAGAGTCTTGAATTAGGCAACTACCATTGCTGAGAAGACATGCTAGCAATTCCACCAAGAAATTGTTAGCTCAGCAGCCCACTACCAGCACCTTCAGTTTTTCCTACTTGCCTTTTTCTTTCTACTACTTTTCCTTCCACAAAAAGCACAAACATGACAGAGAAATGGTTGGCTGCATCTCTCATTCACACCACTTAACTGCTTTCAGCACAGGACTCCCATTCCTCATACCTTCTTTAAACTGTTTTTTCTAACCACATCCAACATTTTCAGAGAACTCCATTTGAGCTCCAGCCACCTTCCATGACCTCAGACCTTTTTGCAAAGTTTTTTTTATCTAGCTTGAAATCTAAAGTAGAAGTTGAATAACTAGGTTTCTTCAAGAGCTGTAGACAGAGATACAAGTTAAGCACCTAGAACAATAAAAATAGCAAGATAAAAAAGGCTAACGGATACTTTTAATGTGGTAGTAAGCAAGAATGCCTGTCCACAATGTGTGACCATTGAAGAAAAATGTGTAATCAAAGCAACACAATTACTCAACTGCCTCAAGAGACCAGCCAATACAGTTCATCTGGACATCGGATGTACCCACCTTGGAACCACATGCAAGTTCACTGCAAACCAGGTGAAGTCATCATCCCCAACCTTCACAGCTAGTTACACTCATCTCCAAGTACTATGCATCTGAAGTTATTAGAGTTTCCTTGTCTGAATCAGTCTGGTTTTTTATAACTTTTGAACTATAGTCTAAGTGCAATGAGACAGTGACCATAAATAACTCCTAATAGATACATACTGCTGCATTAAAGTTTTGGGACTTTGATTTGTTAGATTTTATTCCAGCAAGTGATAGTTTCATAGGTAGCTCGAGTACTCATAGCAGCAGCATCAAGACTGAGTACTTAAACTTGTTTTAGAAAGGTACCTATACTCATATACTATAATAAAGGTCTAACTTTGTGAAGATTTACTCTGAGGAAGTGTGCTTAATGTTGACTTACATGCTATAGCAGGTCTCTGGCCAATATTCTCTAACCCACAATAGAGGTACTTTCTAGAGACAGACATAGCTGTTGTCTTGCACTCTTCTCAAGAAGCATGAACAATAGCTTACTTGTTTTCAGCCACAGAAGTTAGCAACAAGAAAATGGTTTTCCTTAAGACATACAAACTAGTAATCTAGATGATTTTTAAGAGTCTTGCATTTGCTGGAATCTAAGCCGTACAGTAGTAATACCAGGTTACTTGAGTAAGATCCTGCTCAAATATAGACAACTCAAGCTATTTGTGCTTTCCTATATGTTTAATGCAAAGAACACTCTACATATCTTCAATAAATATGCTTTTTCCTGGAACTGTTGTATTTTGTCTGCTAACAATGAATAACTGAAGTCTTACATTAATCAGTCTAAACAGTCCATAATGTTTTCATTGGTGTCTTAGAAACCAGCTTCCCTGACTTGATGAAGCTATATTTCTTTTGTAAGGTAATGTAATGATACCCTTCTAAGCACAGGTTTTAAGTCCCATAAAGTCCAACCAAACTGCAGCTTACACAGGAAGGTTCGCAGAGAGTATTTTTCATGCTGTAGCTTCATTAAGTAACTGCTGAGAATTTATTTAAAAAAAAATGTTTTGCTAATAGTAACCAGAACCTTTTTTTAATCATACAAAATTGTAAGCTTCCTTATCACCAAGTTTTCAGTAGTAATAGTTTTAGTTTTGTAAGAAACTTAATATCAACATGGCCTTGTTAGCTTTGTAATTGACAGAAGTCAGACAGAATACACTAAAGGAGAGCTCTTTAGCTGCAGGGAGAAAGATGTATTCTACACACTGCTTCTATTTCAAAGTAGTCAAACAGGACATTCTCTTGGGTAAACACCTAGTATTTATTTCCAGACCAGAACTGCATCTGTCCACTTCAACAAAGTGGAAAAAGCTCTGCTCTGGAGAGCACATATGCTCTGGTGTAGGCAAGCCCTCATGACTCATCTGCTTATCAAGTCTAGTTGAGATTGGGTTGTTTGTTTTTTTCATCTCTGCAAAAAATGAAATTTGAGTCAAAAAGTCTGGAACTCCTCTTATGAGGAGATTCCAACTTTGAACAGTCTTGCCAATTTCACTCCTCATATCAATGTTGTATCACAAGACAGACTTTCATCTAACCTAATGGTGTTGCTACATATACACACATACAATCATGAATTTTAGATTCACACCAAAGCTCTGTGCAGTCAAGAAACTATCTTCACTAGCATGAACAGATCACCTTTGTCCATCATGCATACAACCATGTGAGAAGAACACAGCAATGGCCACTTAAGAGAAAGTATCTGCACCACAGTTCAGGGAGAAAGGGGCAGGGGGAATGCACCAGGACCAGTCTGTACCAAAGCCATCTATTATTTCAGAGAAAAGAAGTCAGACTGAAGGCAGAACACTGCTCTTACAGTCAGACTGATTAGTTACTACTACTCCTTTTGTGCATCAGAACATACCCACATCATTCAATGCATTCATATGCAATACTAATTCTACCCTTCAGAAAAAGGAAGGCCAAGGAATATTCTATTTTGTCATAGACATCACCTTTACTGTTTTTCCAAGCATGACAACTTAAGTAAAAAAAGTCAGAGCACAAAACATTTTGAAGTTTCAGCTACCACCATTTGTGTTCTTGTGATAGTAGTTTATACACTTTGTTTCTGAAAACCCTCCTCCCAAAACCTGTGGGCTTCAAAACACTTTACCAGAGAAAGAGCAAGTCAGAAGTAAGTTCAATTCTGTCTAGTATGCCCAAAGTTACAATTACATCCGGCAAGTTTCATCTCTTCTACTTAATCACTCCAAAAGCAGTTCTAGCTAATGCCAATTCATTTGTCCACTCAAGCCCTGCAATACAGGGGAAAAGTTATGCTCGTTAATAGTTTATAATGCTGTTTTGGGACACAAGTATATTAATGCAGCTTAAGAGTTTCCCATGCATCTGGTTTATTGGCTACCAGATAGACAAGGGCTAAAGTTGTTTGACTTTCTGGGGATATTCTGAGAGGCCAAAGTAACTGCAGAGGCAAGATATATGCATGCGCCAGCTGTTTTAGCTGGGAGTCAAACACCTCAATGCTAAACAGCAGTCTAAGGAAGCATTCCCTTCCCTCTAAGGGGGTACTCTAAATACTGCTGCTTGCCAGAAAAGGCTTAAAAAAAAAGTGCTGTAGCTATGAGTGTACCAAAAAAAGCTGTTTTCAGGTAGGGGAAGTAGAATGAGCAATTCAACAATACACATGAAAAGCTTGCATCTTTCACTGACTTATTCACTTCACAATCACTGACAAGACTGATGTACATATTTCTGCACCTGCAATTGTAAAAGCAGATAAAATATTTAATATGTAATTTACAATGTATTTTACCAGCTTGGCATACAGGATGAACAGAATATATCAAAGTAGTTTACAGTTATAGGCTTGTGAAGGCCCTGCAAAAATATTACTTCAGATATCTGCTAATTAAGAAAAAAAATCAATCTGCATTTTAGAAGTGATACAATTCAATCTACCACAAAATACAAAGAGCTGCAAAAACATATACCATTCCAACAACAATGTATATAAGTTATTAAATAATGATCTGATTTAAAAGAATATAAATGAAGCCTTTAAGTAGGTCTTTTCTACATGCATATTATTCCTCATTAAAGAAAAATATGTAAAAAGGCCATTGGTAATTGCTTTGTTAACCACTGTAGAAAATGCCAATTCTCTGGTCACAGATGCCACTAGTTTAGCACTTAAGGTCTCTGCAGTGTTACATGTGATTATTTTTAAATACTGTTAATTCTATTACTCCATTGGTAAAGAATGCGTGACTTGGAATATGGCAGTCTTCATATTGAGAGGGCAGTGATGCACAGTTTTATAATTATCCAGAAGAACAGCACCCTCCACTGCTCTGTACTTGTGGCTCATCATCAATGATCTGTACACCTCGCCTTGCTATTCCTGACTGACTGGAACCATTGCCTCTTGCTCTTTCATCCACTTGAGCAGTTTCTATCATTCCTGCAAAGGAAGAAATGTATTAGATGACATTCCACTGCATTTTTACACAAGACTTTGAGATCTTAATCTATAAGGGTTACATGCACAGAGATGAAGTTCAGCAAGACTGGTTCCCCTATTTATTATGCTGAAGTAGTCACTCAAGTATCACACAGCATGGCTGCAAGAACTACTTAATCTTCTTCCTAAAGCACCAAACATCCAGCAGCTCCCACTGAGACCTTAGATACTCAGATGTTCTGGAGTTAGTGACTTCAAAAGCTAGATTTACCCACCCATATCAAGAACATTCTTTTGAAAAAGAAAACAAACAAGAAACCCAACACACCACACATATACCACCCCACCCCCAAAAAAACCCATCCTACTTTTCAGACATGTAGGTGAAGTTTTGCTTAAATTCTTGTATCATAAGAACCCAATGAATAGGACAATTTCCCTGTGTTACAGCTTTTTATCCTATATTGCATGATCTTTATCATTTGCTTAGACTGCTGTGTAAAGTTTGCATCATTACAACTTCAAGTTTATGATTTGTAATTGACAACATTTGAGAATTTTTGAAAGAGCTTGCAACAGAGGGTTTGAAGCAGGCAATAGTAAGACCAGTCACATGAAGTTTGATTTGAAGTTACTATTTACTCACGCTGAGTGAAACAGCAGTCAGTGCTCCAACAAAGAGACAAAAAGACATTTTTGAAGTACAGCATGAATTTGCAATATCACAAGCATCCATGCACCAAGCTTCCATAGTTGTTACAGCACACAGGTGGCTTGAAGTAGACTCAGATGAAGTCAGTTCTTAGTAATAGTTTACATGAAGGCTTTTCTATATGGTTTTAAGCATTCTGAAGCCCTGAGCATTTTGTGAATAAGCTCTTTACCAACTAGATAATACCTACTTTTACAAAGGTCAAGAAACAGTTCTTCAATTCCTTTGTTCTGTTTAGCTGAAGTATGATAATGTTTTGCTCCAACAGATTCAGCATACCTAGAGGAATGCAAATACAGAACTTCTTTGTACCAAAGGACCCAATCTTTCTAAACCACTTTTCATGAAGCAAAAAATAATCACAAGAGGTTTTACTCTGAGTTCAGAGTTAATCTACACATGCTGATTTAATGTAAAAAGGGAATTATGTGGTTAGAACTGCCATGATTCATGAAAAACACTAGATGAAATAAAGAAAATTTCCTGTCTAAAAATGCATTTAAACCATAAATGTTGACTTTAATCAACATGTAGGACTCCCAAGTTACACTTTGGTCAGTAAGGACATTCCAGGATTCAGATACTAACAGAACACCAAAGACAGCAGCCAGCTAGCCTCTGCTGGTTTGTGCTTGCCAGTTAACAGCATCACAAGTTTATTAATCCAGCATAATTCTGCAATGACTGTTTCTATTAATAATTGATGACTTACGTTTCTGCTTCTTGCACTGAAACATGTCTCTCTTTTTCCAAGTCTATTTTGTTACCTGGTGGAAACAAGTTAATCTTTCAAGTATTTGTACTCCAAAATTACCCAAAAGAAAGCAGTCATATAATCATTGTATCCCATCATTTTCTTACTAGCTGTCCCAGTAAAAATGAACTCTTACACAGGCTTCAATTTGGAGCACAAGAAGATGATTTAAGAATCCCCTTTCACTCAAGCATTTACAGGCAATGAAGATGAAGTTCTACTTCTGTAGAGAGATTGGGCTAGCTAAATACCTCCATATAAGCCACCAATTCAGTCATCTGCTTTTCTTTTGTAATTTATAAGGCAGCTTATCTGTGCTGCAGAGGTAGTTTTTGTAGAATACCCATACATCTATCCCCCGAAAGTGTTTTCATCACTAGAGCTGATTTTAAATCTAAACCCAGTACTTCTGATGCATTGTTTGCATTGGAATATCCAAGCTTTAAGACTCATTCCACCCCTGCAAGCACTTGATTATGAAAATCAGACAAGCATATAGTCTATGTCACTGAGAACAATAAAAACATGACATTGGGCTACTTGCAAGAAGGATAACATATTTAGTTTAATGAAGAGAAACATAAACCTCAGTCTGCAGGTGTCTGTACCATGCACTTCTGACATGGTATATCATTAAACAACTTGTTTTCTGAAACTCTTATTTTCCCCTCAGTGTGATCTACTGAAACTGCTAGCTCCAACCAAGTTTTAAATGTCAAATTAACATAAGCTTTACTCCTTCACATGTACAAGCTGTCAAAGCAGCGTTTGGCAGATGCTATCAATCAAAAGAAACATTGCTGATTCAGTCATTAGAGTCACATATTAAAAAACACTTACCTACTATACATAAACAGATTTCATTTCCCAACATTTTTCTTAATTCCTTAACCCAGTTTTTTACCTGCAAGAAGAACAGAGGTAGGTTTATTTTCACTTGACATACTACTAGCTTAGGCATCGCAGAACTGACCCATTTCCTTTGTTAACCATTTACACTAAACTTGAAACAAACATGTTTAGAGCAACATATTCTTTAGATAGCTATGCACGGCTCTCATTCAGCAGGTTTTAGTTTGGAGTCAAAATTAAGAGCAAATTACCAAGATAAAATGGTTCAATTACTCCACAAATATAACTCACCACACTTGTGTTAGCCCAACTCCAAAAACCATGTTCACTGCATTGGCCACTTTAGGTCAGGCATGAGATCTTGTATCAACAGGCACTTACCAACAGATCACAAATGGTACTTACAGTTACCTGAACTGAGCTGTTCAGGTTAGATTATAACAGATATTTGCTTCCTGAGAGAACAGGTGGGACACGAGTGTCAAGTGAGCTGATGGTAAGGTATCTGTTATCAATTCTGTTGTTATACTTTGAAGTTGTATCATCACTTCATTGACTTAGGGACTGCTATTCTAAGGGAATTTAAGTCATGAAAAGAGGCAATCACTTCAAGAACCCAAAAATAGTTAGGATACATGATACAGAGGTATTTCTGCAAATTAGCCTTCCCTCTTTTTTCTGAGGATTTAAGTGTTTTGATATCACGGAATTTTACTAAGTAGGGCTCAGCATGAAGAGGCACAAGTTTTAGTACTCACTAGTCATCACAATTCCACAGATGGGGGGGCAAGAGTTTAACTGCTAGCATAAGTGCTTTACTTGCCCTACATTAGGCTATTTAAATTAGTTAAGCTTTCATGGAATTATACCTTATACTACTATCACTGCTAACCCAAGCCTTGTCCATACATCCACAACTTCTTACACCTTTACGCAGAAGTCCTACTGGTTTTGTCACAAGCTAATTGGACACAAACTCACTTAGGAAAGAATTTCACCAGTTTTCAGCTGGAACATCCTAGAGAGTGATGTGACAGAGAGTTGGAAAAAAGTCACCTGACCAGACTGATCAACTAATACTAATAATTAGCCATCAAATTTCAGGCTTTGATGAGGATTTGAAGTCCAAATACTGATTATCACTGAGAAAGTATTATTTCCACTACCATGTACTGCAATTTCAGAGTTCCCAGAACTGTAAAAGGTCATGTCACTTAATATCTTTTAGTCATTTGGTTTATACAGTAGAGATCAGCATTGCATGCTATCACAACAGTACTGGTTTATGTTTATAGCCTGTCATGGGTAACTCACACATATAATTCTCTGGTGTTCTTTGAATAACTCTGCTAGAACTTTAGTAGATTGAAAAAGTCAGCCTTCAAAAGAATCCTAATAAGGGGTATACTCCCATTACGTGGTCTAAATTTGCAGATGTAATATATATATATTGCTATTGCTGAAAACAGAAGATTACCAATTATACACTCATATCACAGATTATCTTTCAATCAGTTTACATATCACAGAGGTAAAAATCTGTCCAGTACCTTTTGAAAAGAGTCTTCATCTGTTATATCATATACTAGAATAGCGCCATTAGAATCCCTGTAGTAGATCGGCCCCAATGCATGAAATCTTTCTTGACCAGCTGTATCCTGCATTTAAAATACATTTGTTAGCATTTAAGGCAAAGCAAACAATAGTTCAAAACTCCAAATACTTAATAAAGTAAAACTTTGAAGAAGTCCAACATTTGAGTTCTAGTAAATCTAAGTAATTTTTCAGTAAAATATTCTATTTAGCCAGGGGAGAGAAAATAGGAAAGTAAACATACCCATATTGCAAGGTTTACTCTTTTCCCACCAATATTTAGCTTCTTTGTAAGAAAAGATGCCTGGAAAGCAAAACAGATTAGAGTTAAGTTTTACACACAAATGTCTCATTTGACTTCAGATTAATTTACTAATAAACACATCTGAATCAATAAAAGACAGATTTCTGGATCAAAATACTCTTTAAGCCAGAAGGCTGAGTCAATACTAAGCCAGTTAGTCATTTCACTACTTTGCCAGGAGTATATTCTAAATAAATTTGCCTTGAGCTAATCATTTACTACATCTTTGCTGCTGTTTTGAATTATTTAGGAAGGATAAGAGTTCTGTGGAAAAAGCCTGAATTCACAAGACTAAGTCTAAGCTGAACCCAAAGCATTTCACAAAAGTATATGAAGTTTGGGTAGGAACCAGCCTAACAGGATTTTCAATTTGCAGGAATTAGGCAAAGTAGTACACTATTAGTGAGCTACTAGAACAAAATAAAATAGTTTGAGTTTATTGCTAAAAGTCTCAGAACACTAGTATTTTGCAAGGTTTTTTTGTCTGTATCTTTTCCCCTTTTTCGCAGAAGTGAGGCCCCAATACTCCCCATGTGGTTTTGGGGGCTTTTTTCAGGCCCCAGTGGTTTGGTGCCATGCCTGCCTGCCCCTGCCCCCACACCCCCCTCCCCGACACTGTTCCTGAAAGCTCAGTGATACACTTCTCAGCTAACACACAGAAGGAAAGCAAGTGGCAGGGTAAGAAAAGCCTCAGAATAAGTATACAAGCTGCTCTAAGAATTCCACTATGTTAACTTCTCAAAAACATTTTACAGGACCAGAGCATATTGCAAGGTTAGTCTAGTTTCAGTAACTCAAGAGTACGTCTGTTCTTCAAGCCTGCATGGTCCACATTTTCAAACACCACCTCTATTCCCAAGTGTGTAATTCAGTGGCTAAAAAGGGGTATAAATTTTAATACAAGTTTAATAGGCTAGAACAGGGTCTGAAGGAGTTGATACATTAGGAACCTGCTCCCCCTGTTCTGAAGGCTAGCAGTAACAGGTAAGCATAAGACAACTCCATTGCCGAGGATTAGCTTTTGTCTTTTTCTTTAAATTATACTCAGTTTTCCTTTCAGTTTCGCCTCAACTTGCATCTGGTCTGGATACAAACAAGTATTCAGTGGTATGAGATACATTCATTCCAGATCATTTTAGGCTGGATTGTAGTAGTTTAACATGAGCTGTCTGTATGAGCATTGACCAGACTGAGTTGACTAAGTGTCATGTGTATGTGGAAAGCATCGTAGGCCAGATCAGCTGCTTGAACCAGCTTGCTGCTTAACTACGTAAGCTTTCGTGCACATGCAGAAGACCATGGTAACTCAATTTACACCAGCCTAAACTGCTGTGAAAGTGCCTCTCTGGAGTGCTACCTGTATTACAAATAAAGTAATCCAACACTCAGCTGCTAGTGCAGCTCCTGCTCTTCAGCTACTTCCCTAACATCAACTCTGGAATTTGTATGACCTAAGGTGAGATGATTCAAGAAACTTTTCTTCTTTTGAAGTTGTACTTTCCCCCAAAACGTTCCAAAAAGTCTGATAAACAAAACAGAGAAGACAGACCATAGGAAAGAAAAACACTCAAACTTTCTAAGAGGAGATAGCAAAGAACTAATCATTATGACCACTGTATTCAATATAACTAAAGCATTAAAGCTACCCCCTTCAGTCTACAGTGACATGACATAAGTCAACTTCAGAAAGAGTTCCAGACAGCATGTTAAGAGTATTTAACACTCTACCCAACCAGTAACAACCAGTTTAACAGCAGAGTAACTAATCTTAAACATCAGGAAAACTAATTCTTTAATCAAAATCTCTGCAGAGAGCAGTTTATTGCTTTCAGCTAGCTGTCCCCAAGGATTATCTGATCAGTATCTAGTCTGTATCATAATTTCTTCTACTACACCAGAGTTTAAAAGTCAAAAGCTTAGATGTAACTTCAGAAGTTTTACTTCACCAACACTTGAGCCATATTAAGAGAAGGTATGGTTAGGCACAATGAATCAAGCTTATCTGGCAATATTTTGAATCATTTTGACCTACTGTACTATGGTACTTGATAGTCTGTTAGGAAAAGCTCTTCTGAGGACTGTTCCCATTTGTCACAACACTGAAAATCAAATCTGCTCAGTTGATGCAAGTTTCACATAAGTGCTTAAGAATCACATTTCTGGACCAAAAGGCAGAAAAATCCTTCACAGAAACTGGATTTATATTTTAAAAACCAGAACTCAGTATCTGTAAAGTTATACCATCATGGCTTTAGACATTGGCCCAATTAACAGCACAGCTATCTTTACTATCTGACAGAGCAAATATTAAAGTCAGCTTATACCCATAGATAAGTTTTGCTTAAGTATCACCCGTCTTTCAGGTCACTACAGCTTTTGAGAGCAATACTGTCTTTTAGCACTAAGAGTAGAGTATTTGCTTTCCTCTGTACCCAAGTATTAGAAGCCCCATACATTCAAGTAAGGCTTTTTAGTGTCTCCTGAAAAAGTCACAGGAGACTGTAGTAATCCTACGTGCTCTCTGCATTAAAACTTGATGAATTTGTACTAATTAAGTTTTAGTCTACCTGCAGTCGCAGGCCCCTAGCTAAAAAACAAGAGACAACATCCTATATTAGATATCTTGATTACAAGCAAGCCTGTTTAAAAAAAAACTTGCCCAGTAACAAGATTAGAACCTGGTATTTGAAGTAGTCATGGTTAGTAACGAGCAGAAGGCTTTGAACATGCTGCGAGAAACAGTCAATCCTATATTACAGATTAAATACTTCATTCTTTTTCATTCGTCATTATACTTGATGAATATTGTTAGCAGGCCCCATTCTTCAGTTCATAAGTATGGGTAAGTTTGGCATATTTACCATAAGTAAAGTACATTTTACAGCCACAGTGCCAAACATATTAAAAGGTAAACCAGCTAATACCTACCTTTTAACACATCCCCTCCCTTTCACATTCCATATGTCTCGTGGAAGAGCAAGGTTACTACTTGTCACCCGTTCTGAGGTTAGGTCAAAAAAAAATAACCAGGTGAACAGCAGGACTATGCTGTTTTAGAAATTTGGGGGGAATGTAACATGGAAGGAAGAGTTAACTACTGTTTTGAGATAGTTTAAGAGCCTAGTTTCAGGAAAAAAAGTCAGCTGCCAAGAGTGTTAAAGCCTTTTGAATCAGTACTCTAGACAGCATTAGAAAATTACACATAGGAGAGGATTCAATTTTTTTCTAATCTCCCAAGAATTTACCAAATTGAATACTGCAGATTTAAGTCTGAGTTGTGACTCAACTTACAACCAGTAACTCCTTTCCATATTTTCATTACTATGGCAATTCATTTTGCTAGGTCTTTCAAAAAGCCACAAATGTACAGAGCCACAGTTAATTCAAAGATAAGTAATCTCAAAAACAGGTCTTTGAAGTAAGCTACTAATGTTGGTATTTTGACTCTAGTGCCTGACTGGTCTGAAGAATACTTATACACTTAAAAGAAAAGGATAGTGCAACTGTAAGAGCTAAAATTCCATTTTCTTTATGTGCCTGTAGAAAATCTTTTCCTTCTTTTAATCCTTCTAAGAGCTCAGTTTCACATGTCCGTCAGGCCCTGTTAGGAGCTGATAAAGGAGTCTGAGCAGAACACAAGGAAGACCCAGCTGGAAAAGATCCTCTTGAAAGTCAGTGAATAAAAGCACATGTACGTCATCTGCCCCTTGACTGCTTTATCTTCAGAGGTAAGCCAGGCATATGAACACCACATATAGCACTGAACCTCCTTGCACTGTATTTTGGGGTTTTTTGCCCAGCTATCTTGGACAACCAAGACAGCTCTTCCAGGTTATACAGGTCCACCAAAGCAATCAGGATCTATGTAGTATGAATAGCACCACAGCAGTGGCTGTCTTAGGTTGCATATTTTGTGGCCCTCCACACATTGGAGATTAGCACACAAAAGTTCTATTTATCTTGAGTAATTAACAAAAAGAATCTACCCAATTTAAAAAAAATAGTTCAACATTAGGTTTATTATTGGAGCAATTCCAGCACAGTTCACTTGTTATCAATTCATAGCTTAGAATTGTTTTATCAAGGCAAGAGCACTGACCTCAATATTTCAATCATGGGAACTAATTCTAACTGTCCCACCAGATCTGACAACAGGCTACGGATTTATTTATTGCTTGCAAAAAACCTCTACCTTTCCTGCATCAGCTTTTTCACATTATTCTAGATAAATATTTTCTTATGTGAGTCAGTAGATACCTTAACTTCAATTTGCAGGTCATCAGTATCTTAAGTACTCGACTTCAAGCTAGCATAACTACAGCAACACATCCCAGCAGCCTCCTGCCTTCAATGTAAGGAGGTTCCAGTTCACTATTTCCCCCTAGCTAGCGTTTAGGGAAGTAGGGCGAAAAGAAATAGCTCCCTTTCACTAGAAACCTTCTGTTACTAGCACAAAAGAAACTCTCCTATTTGGGTATACACAGGTTAACTTCACAATGGCATAATACTTAAGTGTTATAATTCAGATAGGAAAACATAGATATACATTAAAGATTCACATTGATCAATTTAAAGACTTCCTGTGCTCTCCCCCATCGTTGGGCTCACACTGCAGGAAGCACCAGCCAACATCACTAAATAAAGTTTCCAGAAGGCTACACAGTCTCACCACCCTCTTCGTTGCAATCACGTTGGAATAAAGCATTACGCAGTACTTTCCTTTTTTCCTAAGTCAGAAATTACTGTGGATGGAGATCCTTTCCTCTCAGTATCTAGTAATCTTTTCATATGATTCATCACTGTGGCTCCTTTGCTGAATCAGGAGCTAGGTATTTATCTAATTTTGGCTTTATTGGAACAAAAGTAATTTGCTGCGATACTTTGAACTGATGCCATGATACAAAGCCACCTTATCAGATCAAGCCTTTAATCTTAAAAAACCCAGGATGTTTTGCAAAAATGTCACTTCATTGCTTAAAAAAATAACATTAGAAACTAGGATATATGATTAAGGGATGTTTTAATTTGCTAGTAGAACTTCAACTTTCTTCTAGAACTATAAGATGTAGGAAAACAATAATAAAGATATTTCACAAGTGCACATGTTGTACAGTAAGATCCAACAGCAACTGACATTGTCTTTTACAATCAATAAGATGTACATGAGGCTAAGGAGGCTCAGAACAGAAAAACAAATGAGTTGAGAAACACAGTGCAGTCAGCTAAGAGATACAGGTAGCAACCAGAAACCTAGTCTCAGTGGAGAAAAAGTGTGAGCATGTGCTTCCACTCCTCTGCAAGCACACACACGCCCTCCAGACAGTCAAAACCGAAAGCTCTCAAGCCATATAGTATCTGGAGACATTTTACTGTCAACATTTTGGAGCCATTTAAAGGTGCATTTTATGACACCTGTGACCTAAGTCTGTATTCCAACTGATTTTTTGCTTCTAATTTTAGAATCTAATTCCACTACATATTTAAAGAACATTATTAACAAAAACCACAAAGCTGCATCACATGACAAACTATTCTTTCCACATGGGATATCAGAATTCAGCTATACATGATCATTTTTTTATGCACTTTAAATGACTGTATGATTGTTTGCTCAATGCTACCCTTCAGGTGAAAATTACAGCCACAGCTCTGACACCTACAAGATACTAGTCATTTCTGTAGCGTGGCAATCAGAGCTACAATCAGCTTGCCATAAATACTACAACATGCCTAGCAAACCTACCAATAGATGAATCCAACAGCAGAGTATCAACATAAGGTAACAAAGTTTAAAACATGTTCTTTCTAGCTCTTTGTTGCTAAAATGGAGCAACAGTATCTGTTTATGAAACAGTCACTGTATTATTTCTAGTGCATCTCTAATGCTTCTTTGATTTTAAGGGGAAGTTTCACTATTAAACACTTCCCAGATACCGAGCCCACAGGAGTTTTCCCCTGAGTGTGCAGGAATAGTGCACAATTACCCTGAGGCTCTTTTTTCGTATCACCTACTATTTATCCTGTACTTCACAGAACTTCAAAAGTAGTTCAAAGCCCACTAGCAACCGACATGGTGGCAGAGTTTGTTTCTTTATCTACAAAAATTAAAAAGTGTATTAAGAGCATTATACATCAGTGTTAACCACACATTTTCATATACATGTTCACAACTGCTAAGAAAGATACTGTGCACCTAGTGTAACTGCAAATAAAAAGGTTAAGCAAGCAGAGACATCCCAAAAGACTTTACAACCCACAAAGTTTAAAACATTTTCTGAGACCATGTACAATAATAAGCATTTTATTTTGTACCATGGCATACATGCCATTCAGCACTACTAGGTAATGAATAAACATTTCTTTCAAGCAGACATCTGTCACATATTCATAATTGGAACATCACTTTTTAGTTCTTTATAAATGAGCAGACAGTACTACTGAGAATCAGGCCAAAATTTAGGGAGATAACATGACAAGCAAGTAAACCTTAAGAATCTTTTCTGTTATTAAATCATAAGCCTTAATCTCATAAACCATTTTGTGAAAGCTGTTCTCTTTAAACACTTGCATTTAGGTAGTTCAAGTGTTAGGATTTGAGAACATGAAGAATGACTAGCATTAACAGGAATGCACCACATATGAAACACTTAGTCATCAGCCCACTACCAACAATTACAATAACAACATTACTTTCAAATCGTATTTCCCAAGATTCAGATGAAGACATTCACATACATAACTGGGGAAAAAACGAACAGCTAGAATTCAGAAGAGAAACGAGGCCTTTAAGCACTGAAAGCTTCTATCTGAGGCATAAAGAGAACCAGAAAATTAGCTTCCAGCAAACTCGGCAGGGGACAGCCACCATTTAAAGCGCAGCAGTGGTCACTCCGGCCACCGTTAAGCGATAAACAAGACGCCAAGTACCAAAACCCCACGGCAGGTTTAGGGAGCAACCCTCAACCAGCCCCAGGGCGGAAGGGGCAGGCCGGTAAGCGCCGCAGGGCCACCGGGGCCGGACTGACACCGGCCAGGAACCCTAGAAGGCGCGCAGGGGAAAGG